ATGCTCTCTGTGTGGGAATCTTTTAACAACATAATGTCGTTAACGTTAACAACAGAGAGATAAAACTCTGTGTGTTTTATCAAGAAAGCTGTAGCAGCACCTGCCATGATATTGGAAGAATTGAGATGGAATTGCATCTTACCTTTTAATGAACAAATTTCTCCTGCACATACTTGGATTAAGTGGAAAGCAGGTGCTGGAACTATCTTCCATCTGGAATAATTTCTCAAAATAAGTCACAGGATTGATTTTTCTGTCCTTGTGCCCTAGATTGTGGGTTCAGCTAGCACATCCCGTGACACTTTGCTATGTTGGGATAGCAAAGAACAGTGACTACTAACATCGTATGTAAAAACAGTGGCGCTTGAAATGAATAGGTAGGGTTACTTATACTTTAGGAAGTGTAAGAAATAGACGAGTAGTCAGGGAAGGAGGAGTCGTGTAAAGTAACAGGAAGGAAAGAGAAACATGTATCTGTACTTTGAAGATTATTTCCAAGGAGAGTTCAGTTAAGGATGGGGTGTGTTCAGGACACTAGAATAGCAGAAGAGATACAGAGAGAACTAATTCTTACAAACAACATGGCAGCAAAGGAATAGGAGGGGATGCTACAGGTGAACATTTTCAGATTCTCATTTCTGTGGTGCCTGATGTCTGTAATTGTTTCAGGAGACAGTGCTTGTATAATAAATCTTCCTATCACTTAAGCCCAGAACCACAGAACGTTTTACATTTTATCACTATGCAAACAGATTATAATCCTCATCAGATACCCTCTGGTTTTCTTATTTCTCTCTCTTTTGTTACAGCTTTGTTATAAGTGGTTATAACTTCATTTTTACAAGTGTCACTAATGGAACCTAAACTGTGGAAAACTGTGTAATATTTAAAGCAAATATTGGCATTTAATGGTGTATTGTGTATCACAGACTATTTTCATGAGCATTTACAGGATGTGCTGGGCAGAGTTGACCATGTCTGTTCTCAGGCTCCTGAAACAGAGATTGCAATGAGTATGTACAAATTTTAAAAGTCTGAGGAATCACTGGATATAAAATCACTAGAAGTATTCTGAAAGAAAAACAACTAATATTCTGATCTACAAGCTATAGAAATTATGATGTTCAAGAAAGTATTTTTAAAAAATTAATCTTGCTCTTGAATCCTTTATACAGTGAAATTACTGTGAAATTTAGGGGAGGAAAGATGGCTCTTTATGGCAGGAAAATTTTGCTTTACAGTATATTTTGCATTTGCCCATTTTGAAAGACCAAATAGATTTCAAGTGTAGAATTTTGTCTGGTTGAATTATGTAGGTGAGCTTTCATGTTTTATGTACCCTAATTAAAGTCAAGAAGATGTAAAGGTACACATTGTCCTTTTGAGAGGTGTCAGGTTTGGAGAGTTTAGCTTATAGATTGTTTTACTAGAAGAACTGAGTGTAACTGGGAATTGTTCCATCTAAAGGATTAGAAGCATAGATCTAAGCAGTCAGGGATAGGTAGTCCAAAGGATAGGTAGTCCATGGAGATTTCCAGGAAGCTTCAGTGTTAAGATGATGAATCCCCAGGTGTGTTTTATCAAGAAAGCTGTAGCAGCACCTGCCATGATATTGGAAGAATTGAGATGGAATTGCATCTTACCTTTTAATGAACAAATTTCTCCTGCACATACTTGGATTAAGTGGAAAGCAGGTGCTGGAACTATCTTCCATCTGGAATAATTTCTCAAAATAAGTCACAGGATTGATTTTTCTGTCCTTGTGCCCTAGATTGTGGGTTCAGCTAGCACATCCTGTGACACTTCTGCCTCCAATGGATTGTACCTGTGTTAAGAGTATTGCAAGGTTGTATTCTTGCCATGGAAAAGTATGTGTTGCAGCTGTCTTTTCTGCTGTCCCCATGAGCCTTCAACACTTCTCTCAGTTTTCTCCAGCATGCCTCTGTGTGCAAAAGCTGAGTTGTGAAGCATGCTGGTTTCTGATATCATAAGGTTGTCATGCATTTTTGTGTCTAGGTTATCTAGTCAAATTATTTTTTAGACCAAGTCACAAGTATTTGTTGTTCTGCAGAGCAAATTCTTACGTTAATTGTCAATGTTAGAAATAAGGAACACAATTAGGCACAAGTCACTAACTCTTCCTTCTTTTTTGAAAGCCTCTTCCTTTTCTTCAGCGAGGGTTCTCCTTTTCTAGAGATGAAAAAAGCCTGTCTTCCTTTATTGTTGGCAGCTCTGCACACCTGGAGGTTTGACTGGGAGCATGTTCTGAAAAGAGGTGCTTTGAATGGGTGTTACTCTGTGGAAAGCTAAATCTCCCATAGCTGTTACTGCCATGCTCTTAGATTAAATTAAACAGTTTGGCGTAACTATTAATCACTTCAATTATTTCTGTAATTCCAACTCCAAGACAGCTTTGTACTTTAGCTGGCTTAGTCGTATCACATGACTGTGACTTTCAAGGCATTGTCCAAGGGAGAGAAACAACTTACTTGGAAAAATCTTAGGCTGGAAGGCAGAAATGTTCTCAGTGACAAGCCCTCCTGGTTGTTTTGCAGCCCCTGCTTGACTGCCTGTTTGGAAGCAGCCTCTGTGCCTTGAACCAGAATGTTTAGGAAAGTACAGGAGTTCTTTGGCATATGGAAATCTGATGAAGAACGGTAGAAGTGTAAATGGCCCTGTTAGCCAGGTCTTAGCTTGTTCTTATGTCAGCCAATCCCCAAAATGCCTCATTTTGAGAACACAGAAAACATCTCACTGAAACCTGTGACTTAAATCCTTCCCAGAGCTGGGCATTCTGCCAAGCTTCCTCCATCCTAAAGTCTCTTACAAAAGGGATAAAGACCATGAATCCAGAGAGGGCTGGGAGATTATTGGTCCAACAGACACTCCCTATTCTCTACCTGGATATGAAGCCAGTGTTGACTTAACGCTATGCACTAGTGTAGAGGTTAGAGGAAAACCCAACCTAGCACTGCTTTGTGTTGTTAATGAAATGCTTGTGTTGTTAATGAAATGCTAGAAGACAATGGAAAGCAACTCAAAGAATGCACAAGAAAGAGAAAGATTAATCCCATGTCAACACTTTAACCTGATTCATCCATCGGTCCCGCTGTGTGCCAAGTGAGCCCTAATGATGCATCAGGCATTGGCCTGTAACTCGGTGTATAGGTTTTTTTCTTTCCCTTGTAAGTCTGTCCCAATTCCCATGTTTCTGAGGTTTTAGTTCTAAGGTTTATAGCAGGTTACAAAATACTGAGAATTATGCTTGGGCCAGTGGGAAAAGATAGCTTAAAAGAAATTTTCCTTTTTTTTTTTGGTAGCTCCTTAAACCTAAAATTTCACAGATATCATTATTAGTATCTTACAGGCCAGATTTGTTTTTCAGATCTATCGGTGAGCAGCACTTGATCTACAAAGATATTTTAGAGACAGATTATTACAGGTTAATAGGCCGAGTTCAGAAATTGATATAGTCCTATAAAAGCTGGTAGAGGTTACATTGAAGCTAACAGATTCACAAAGCTGTAAAAGGGCTGGGTATGTACATCAACTGTGCTGATAAAATTTCTAGAGTATGAGCTTGTTTGTCCTAACATTCACCTTATGCCTTCTGGTGGCAAATTCAGCTATGCACAAAATTATTTCCAGGTGATCTGTTTGATCAGAGGACTGATTGTAGGGGAAGTACATGTGCAAAATGCAGTGGGGTCAGGCTGCCTTCCTTGTAAGGACATACAGAATGGTGGGGCAGCTGAGACCAATCTTGATTTAATCATCCCAGGAATACAGATGTCTGCTGTTTCATGGAGCAAGTGGAAAGGCAAAACTGCAAATTAAATGTGAAAATGAGTGCTGATTCTCGCTGTATTTTCTATTCTGAATTTATGGTAAATAAGCAGTGGAATAAGAAACTTATGCAGTTCTAAATAGATACAGGTTACAGGCTTTTTAATAGTGGTGATCCTGTGATGCCCAGTGAGTATCTGTTGGTTACTAAGTGCTTGGCTAGATTTTCACACACCTTCTCTGTTCACCATCAGCCTCCTCCCCTGCTGAAGGATTATTGTTTTAGAACTGTATTTAAACTATTCCTGCAAGAATTTGCACTTGCAAAACCCTTTTGCATGTAGCAGGGCCTTTTATAAGGAGAGAGAGAGAGAGAGAGAGAGAGAGAGAATGAACTGCATTGTCTTAAAGGACAGATTTTTAAAGTATTTAAGTGCTTATAGCAATGGAAATTGAATATCTAGATGCTTTTGGAAATCTGTGTATGTATCCACATATGTATCCACATGCTTTAATAAGTTTGTTCCAAGTGGTTTACCTAAGGATCAGTTAGTCACTGCTAGAGAGTTGAAAAGGGAAACTTTCTCTTACTGCTGTAGCCATTCATCATTTTTGCCTTTATGAAAAAGAAATGGGAAAATATAGCTGGTTTTAGAATCCAGTGGAATAGGGAAGAAATAGCAATGAGTTCTAAAAGAAAACCAAAGTTTATTTTCTGAATAGTAGACTTCTCCTGTAAGCTCATACCCGTAATGGATGAAGGTAGCCTCCTACTATTTGTAAAGTCTCTGTAATCACCACATGGTTATTCAAAATTATTTGCTGAATCCTTTATGCAGTGTGGTTGAAGATCTGTGATGTATTAGGTAGCCGGACTTTGAGAGAATTTGATCTGCTGAATACATTTTGATAGTAAAAATCACATGCTATTCTTTCTCTTTTCTGATTGGTCATGGTTCTTGTTGCAAACCTAATACCTGGTTTGAGTATTTAATGTTTCCAAGTTTGCATTAATTTTTCTTTATATCATCTCATTCACTTACAAGCACAAGGTGAGTATGAGGTGAAATGATTTTTTGTGTTTTTACAAAAATGTGATACAATCCCCACAAGCACCTTTTGTCAGTGTAACCTTTTTACCCAGGTTTTCATCATTACTGCATATTCTCAATGTAGTGTTTTTCTCATCAAGTGCTTTTGTTTCCGTTAACCAGGATGCTGAGAAATTGGCTGGTGAAGAGCATGCCTGGAAAGAAGTCAAAGATGCTGTAAATGAAGTGAGATATCCAAAATCAAAAGAAGGTATCCTTTCAGTGGCAGGCTACAATCTGTCATTCAGTTGTGAAAACAATCCAGAGAGCCCCTTAGTATGCGGTTTATCTTTTGACATTTATTTCCTAAAGGTTTACATTTGTAATGTTGTTTTAAAATGTATTTTTAATTCATTTGATGTTTAAACCATGTTATATTCTTAATTGTGTTAATGTAGAGTCTGTGATTACTTGGACTGGAACTGCTTCATGGCAAGGAAAGTAGATACGTAGGATGTGATGGGATACTTTGACTCAGGTTTAGACTTATGCTGTCACAGCCCATGACTTTATATAAATCCACTTCTAAATTAAATTGAGCTTAATCTGAAACGTTGTTAAATTTTTGTTCCATTACTTCCGTTCTGAACATTTCCAGGTTCTTATTCTTTGCACAGCAATGACAATAACAAGGACATAATCACAGTCAGGTTCACTGCAAACATTTTAGAATCATTATAATAAGTTATAATAATAATGTTATAATAACTGATAATTAAGCAAATTGAATGAGGTGATCTTGCACTAATAAACAGAACTGGAGCCTAATGGCCATCATGTAGATATGCAATCCAATTAAAAAAATAAGTGAACAGCAACAGCCAAGAAAAGATGAGCAGAAGAAAGGTGAGATTTTTACTAGAAGACTATGAGTATATTGATCTCTTTCTCATCTTTGAGGTCTTTTCCAACCTCAATGATTCTACAATCTTAGTCTATTCAGTGGAATTTCACTGACTGAATTTGGCCTTTTGTAGCAAGATACCTTACCATTTTCAGAAACATGGTCTTTCTCTGAAGCTAGAGATAATTAAATCTTCCAGCAGTCCTTTTCAGCAGCATAAGAAAAAAAAAGTTTGCATGGTGATATTCCAGGTTGGAAACAAATGCTCACAATTTTTATTGTAACACAAAAAAACCCTGAGATTTTTTCTTTCTAATCCAGATAGATTCATTTGTTAGCAAAAGGGAAATGCTCATCTCATCTAACTTTAATTTTCATATAGTGTCTAGTCTGTCTTAGGTTCCTCTGTAGTCACTGGATTGAGGCAGACAATACTGAAACAAATCTTCGGGCATTCAGTTTTACTTCAGGGCCCATATTTTAACCTTAAAGTTAATTTATAGGTATGCAACACGCAATTGCAATAATTTTTATGCCAAAAGTGTGGATCCAGAATACTGGTCCTATTTAATATTCCTATGTTTAATTGCAGGAGAAATTTCACCTACTGAATTTTGCTAGGGTCTTTAATTAAGATTACGGATTTAGCTGATATCTGAAAATTTATCAAACACATTGTACTAAAAGGTATCAGGAATGGTTGAAAAAATATGTCCTTGTTGTCTGTTCAGCTTCTGTTCTCAGACATGGACTATTTGAAATGTGTCATCTTTCCTTCCATTGCACCACAATACCAGTGCTAATTGGCGTGCAGTGCCCAGTGCAGTACCTGAAAAGGGGGCTTGGCGTTTGTCCACTTGCCAAGAATGAATAGAAAAACTTTCTTGCTGACTGACGCACATAGTCATTAGTTTCTTAAAATGTAATTTTTTTAGCAAATTAAACCAACAGTTCCTACAGTTGAGAAAGTTAGTGACTTTGTTATAATCAGTAGCTCAGATTTTCAGATATGGTGGTGTAATGCTAAATCTGCAGTTAGAGAACTTGAAACAATATGTGTGAGTGAACTGTCTCAGACACAAATTCTAGTTTAAGCATACAAATTGAGACACTAAAGTCCAGTACAAAGGGATTTTTGTGCAGAAAAGGATTTCTCTGCATCTCAGGCCACACAACAGTAGTAGAGCTGCTTGAGGGCTGCTCCTCTAGTCTTGGGCAGATACAGCTTCTCTTTTGTCCTGTCACAGCTGATACTGGGTTTTCTAATTTGCAATTTATGTACCTGATGATTTGGTCCCAGCAGGTTTTGCATTGTAGCACATCTGCTATTAGATACTAGTGAGTGAACGAAGCAGTACAATGAGAAGTAAAAGCAGACAGACTAATACTGTGCATCAGCTAAAATGGTAATCTTTCAAGAATGTCAGTGCTTTGTGCTTTCTGCAAAAAATTGTATCAAGTGGAAATAATATCCCTCATTCTTCTGTTTGTCTGTCCTTAATCAGTTGTAAAGAATACATGGATGTTTGCCAGAGATATAAAGGTTAAGGTGCAATTTTATAATAACACATTCCTTCCCTTATATGGTTTTTTCAGTCCAAGGGCAGGAGAGCAATTCACAAATAATTAGTTTAGCCTTGTAACAACCATGCTATAAATTCTGGCCCAGCCACATAGTGGTCAGATTCTTAAATTTAAGTATGTAAATATTCCCATGTTCAGGAAGGACAAATTAGTTCATCACAGGGTTATCATTGTACACTTAAATCCATTGCTGGGTTGGGGTGAATAGTATTTTCAGTAATGTTGTGAAGATAACTGCTGAACTTCCTTGAGTTGATTGTATGGAAAGGACTGTGATACAAAAAATGTTATTACTTCTCTTACTCTAAATCTAGTATTTTTTTCATTTCATTTGTTCTTACTGGTGCGTATAGTATCTTTTTGGTGCTTAAACTTCTTGCATTCTGGGACTCCCTTAAAGTCTCAGATGACAGTACTCATTTAAAATCTGGGGGTATTGGTATTCAGCTTAGGTATGGCCAGAGAGAGAATCTGGTCCACAGACAAGTCAAACCAGTGTAGAATGTAATGAAAATAAGTGGTTTGTGGTAAGGAATATCCAACTAAAGTGAATGCAAGCTCCAGCTTACTTTTCCTCTCTTCCAGACACACAAAAAATCTTGTAGCATTGGAGGTAAAAATCTTCTTTACTGCCAAGATTCTTAATCCTGAACTACAGTCAGACTTCAGAACTGTGATACTTTTTTTTTCTCAGGCATGAATCATGGAGCTGTATATGGAAAAAAACCCAACAATGCTCTTTAGAACTGTTTCAAGGAGAAAGAAAATTAATTAATTGCAAGACAAGGTTCTAACTTCGTGAGAATTCTAAACTGAATCTTGGGCAGCTTAAAAATATGTGTAGTTATTTTAATATATTAAAAAATAATTTTCTTTTTTTAGCTGTTGAGACACATTTCCGTGGGTTCTTGCCCTTGGGTGTAAGATTTGGAGGAGTATCTTAAATAAATAATAATGTTTCGGCAGCTAAATAAGAAGTATTTGGATTTTAGTTTGTTATGTATTAAAATATCCTTTCATTTTGTCATATATTACCCTTTACTGCTGAAATACTGCCGCCTTTAGAAATTGTTTTGCTAAATGTAAACTAAACTAATAGTTACCTAAGCAACTGCTTCTGAGTTCAAGCAGTTTTCGAGAATTGAAGTGGAGTCTGGAATGATGGCAGCTTTTTTATCTTAATGCCCTGTAGCTCTTACTCCTTGCTAACAGCATTTAGAACTTGTATTTTTGTTCGATTAAAGATATTTCTTTAACTAAGGCTAATAACAGAGTGGGAACAGGTTCTGGCAAGATGTCAGAATCTCTTGAGCAGCAATATGGGTCGTCTTCCAGACACAAATATCTATCAGCTGAAAATGCTTGACTGTGCCATGGATGCCTGTATTAACCTTGAATCCTGGGAAGAAGCTTTGTATTATGGCAGCAGGACTCTGGAACCATACAGGTAAGAGATATAATTGGTTCAACTGTTTCCAAAGATGGGGAGAGAGGGGACTGTCTCATTAAAAGTAAAGATAGTGTTTCATCTAGATGCTTCTTACTGTTTTTATTTCTTGCTGTACATCTCGCCTTGCTTTCCAGGTTAATGAATGAGGCAGAACTCCTATTCTGTTTCCACAGTCAGGCTGAGAGCAAACAAAATTATAATAGGAACTATAATAATAACTGATTATGAGCTCCTCATTGTTTCATGTGTTCAGATGCTGCCCCATCCCTGATCAGATGCTGACTTTCTGATTCAGACTCCATTGCCATGAGGATATCAGTATCTTATGCTGAGCTAGGTCAAGCTTGAGGGACAGGCAGCTGACTGAAATAATATATATTCTCTGTATACTCTATAACCTTGCAAAATGCAGTTTCAGCTGAAAATGAAAAGGCCTCTGGTCCTTATTTTCGGCAGGGGCCGAGGTGGCGAAGTACTTGCTGTTCTTCTCTCCTGGTTAGTACTTGCCTCTATGCTATATGCTGGGAGAGTTTCTGAATCTGATGGACTTTTATTGATAAAAAAGGATGCTCTGGAAGATCCTACTTAATGTGATAGGTCTTGAAATTGTTTGGAGCCTGGACCTGTAATGCAACTTTGGTCATCTGGTGGAGAAAGGGCACATGCTGTCTGCTTTGGTCTGTGTTCTAAAGGCTTTAATACTCAAATCTTTGCATTCTGGATATTTGTGTTGTTGTAAGTAAATATAAACCTGTGCTGAATGTCCAGATATAAGGTCACTCAGGCATGAATGTTCATTCTTGGTAAGGTATTTTTTTTAGAGCATCCATTTCTTCTGTGCTAGTTCTTCTTCACCGTGTGATGTTCCAGTACACAGGATGATGTGGAGAAGTGTGAGCTAGTGCTGAATAGTATGTGCTGCTGTAAATGTGAACATCTTAGATTTTACATGTCTTCCCTAATCAAACTAGGATACCATCAGCATTCAGCAATTTGCCTGAGGAAATTTCATCTGTAGAGAAGCTTGGTATTTGTAATGACTATTGCTTCTCATAGATGTGGGCATGAGTGCCTACAAATTCTCACATTTCTTCAGGGTAAAATTTACATCAGGCATGTTCCACTTAACCTTTCAAACAGGGCTTATGTAGTACTGCAGTAGTACATGCTTCCTGCCAGCCTTCTACCATGTGGCATGCTCCAGGTGAACAGAGAAGTCTGCCTGTTTAAATGTTCCTTATTAAATGAAAAAACAAAAACAAAAACTCGAAAACCACCTAAACGCTCACTTGTTTTTTATTTTATAACTTGTTAACTCAGTTCTTCACAACTGAAAATGGAGGATTTTTTTACAGATATTTCCGAGAGCAGAGATTACAGTGAGACCAAGTACAATTTTACCAGATAATTTAGTAAAGCTTTCTCTGTTTTGCTTACTGAAGTGTACTGTAGTTTTCAAGCTGTTTAATGCAGGAGTTCGGAGATGATGGAAAGGGTTCTACTGTGCATTCAATTAGTATCTCTCAAGGAATGCTATTTATATGAGATATTTGACCTTTTTTTTCACCTTGAAGAGCTTGTCCTTGTTCTGTCCTCATCCAAAAGCATTTTCAATTGTTGTTTTTTCTTTATACCTTCAAGTCATCACTACAAGCTTTGATACACCTGAAACAAAATCCTCAGTTTCTCATCACAACAAATTGTGCCCTAAGCAGCAGGAGAGCAAATCCTAGGAAATCTTTTGGGATGCATTGTATTTCTCCTGTTGAATCAATCTACTGCTTGGCTGCTCCTGCAGTTCCATTATAGTTATCTATTTTCCTTTCCTCACCTCTGAAAAAAGTATTCATACAGCTCTCCACAGGGAATCACCCGAGAATCCGAGCAGTCCATATAAATAGGAAATCATTGTTACAACTTTAAAGGCTCTGGAGATTTGGCCAAAACCAATTTTAATTTCAGGTAATGTGTTTACTGTGCATTTTCCATTTCTTTAGCAGCAGGATTAATTTTCAGTGCTCTGTGACACATTGTATCACACTGTATGTTTTCATTATGATGGTTACTGACTTTTTCAGAGTTAGCCACTTCATGTAATTGGCAGAGACAGATGGTTAAACTACATAAAACTGATTTATCGTACTGAATACCAACATCTATGGTTTAGGTAGTGACAATAGCCAATGAGAAACATTGTTTAGGACTTTTCAAATACCTCTAGAACTTCCAAAAGAAGGGGAGAGATGGTGGTTGTCAAGATGAAAAGCTGCCTTCTCCTTTTGTGCTGAACCATAACTGTCCATTACTTGTTAAAACCTACAACATGTGCTTTCACTGAATAGCCTAAGCTAAATGTATCTACACAGCTTTTCTTGTAAATGTCACAGTAATAGTCTGTCTGTCCAAGAGCCTTAACAAAAGCTAAGACATTTGCCTGAGTGAAAGCTGCCCCACATCATAGTCAGCACTCAGCAGCTTGCAAGAATAAACTTCCTTTCAAAAATCCTTATGAGCCTTAACCACAGAATAACAGAATATCAGCAAGAGGTGTTACAATGGTTTGTCATGTCTCAGCACATTCACACTCTAGGCTGACTGCTGCTCGTGAAGGACTGGATTCAGAGATACTGGGTAAGGCAGACTTCTCTTTGGTTACCTCTGAGGAAGGACACCAGTATTTAGCCCTTAAATTGCAGAGAAGGCACATATGTTCTGGGGTTTTGGTTTGGGTTTTTTTCTCCCCTTGTCTCAAGTATTCAGTACTTATACCACAGACAAAGAGTGAAAGTATGCATTTGTTGCAAAACTCTGCTAGTTGTCCTCAGCTATTGCAACAGGAGTAATAGGAGGAAAAGAAGTAGCCAAGTGACACCATGGGCCTACTGGATTTAGGAAGCAGAAGGGACTGGGTAAAGCCATGTCACCTCTCTAGGCTCCTGTGGCGTCAGGTCTGGTGAGATTCTGATACAGAGAGGGACAAACATGTTTGTTTCTATTCTGCACT